CCTTAATAACATTTAAATCACAACTGCAATGGTACCCTTATTATCTTTATGTTATAGAGTGATGTTTCTAATGAACGGAGGGCCTTTGGTTGTTTAATTTTTTAAGTACCTAACTATTTAGGTATATTACGTCTAAAAAATATAAATAAGCATAGAAAAATATTATTACCCTATGAAGGATTCTTATTTCTTCTGCAATAGCAGATTGAGTTTCTGGACTCAGTTTCCAGGTATCACAGTAGGTCCCAAATCCAAGCTAAAACGAAAGGGAAGAAATTAATTGAACAGAAAAGCCCACGACACCAACAAATATCATGGAGGGCAAAGAAGAAATATAAAAAATGCATTTGATGGTAAAGAAATGTCATCATCATTCTTCTGAAAGCATAAAGACTAAAAGCAAAATCGTAAGCATATAAGCAAGAGATAAAATTTAAAATCATTTTAAGTCTGGTACTGAATACTTTCTTAGATAACCTTGGCAGCCATTTCAAATCCAGAAATCCAGAATTCAGAGCATAGAACTGCTTCAAGGAACCACAATGATAATGTGGGAATGTCAAATACATGGAAAGGCTAAAGTAAGCAAGCTCAGAAAGTAGGCTCTTTTATGCTATATGAAGAGGCTAAAAAAATTTACTTTGTTTTACTACTTGACTAACTCATAAAGTCATAGTTACTGGGTGAGAGAGTGCTATATTTTTGCTACTCGGAGAATAACATTCACAATAATGTTCAGAAACAGTCTCAAATCCATTTGGAATGAGACAGGGAAAAAGTAAATGTTACCAATTTATAATCAGAACCATCTCTCAAACAGATACTTGGCACATGATTGATATATGAAAAGAATTAAAATTAGCTATTACCTTTTCACTCATTCCAAATTTGGTAACTATTCGTTTTGCTATTTTAGTTGCATAATCAAAATCAATGGAAGAACCTAAAATAAAATAAAATAACATAAAATAAAATAGACAACTTTATTTTTAAAAATATCTTTAACCCTACAAACACAATTTCAACTAAAGCCATTCTTCCATGCAAACCTGTTGTAATATAGTCAGTTCCAAATATAAGCTCCTCTGCTACTCTTCCTCCCATGCTAACATCCATTTGTGCAAGCAGCTGGGCTCTACTTTCATTCCATCTGTTATTCTCAGGCAACAGAGACAACTAGACAATTAAAAAAATAATCAGATCATAAGTAAAGAAATTCAGATACAGTTCTGAAATCGTTGTATTAAAAACCAGAATTATCATTTAGCTCTCA